CCACACCCTGCCAGCTTGCCTGATCTAAGAAGCTTCTGGCTGACTTCTCATGGAAAGCATATTACGGAGGAGATGCCAAACGTACGTACTTACCCTCCCCAAGAGGCGCTGACTCCGTTGAATTGACCTCTCGCAGCCTGGAAGGAATGCTCCATTGGCTCTTGGTAAGTAACCATTATCCAACCCGAGATGATATCCAATATAGTCTCGCTGACAGGTGTTATGACTCCGTATAAGCTTGCACTCTTGGCATAGCTTTTGTGACCGGATTGTCCTATCTCCTAGCTTTGATGTTTTCGGTCCAAGACTACACGACTCTTGCCGACTCGCCCACGGGCCTGCCTCTGGCGGAGATCTTTCGCCAGGCAACCCAGAGCCGAGGGGGTGCTTTTGCGCTTGTTTTCCTCTTGTGGGTGGCAGTAGGCCCGTGCATGATTGGCTCGCAACTGAGTATGTGCCTGGACCTTGAAACCCCCCGAGTATTCATGTTAACACTGCATTCCCTTTGAACAGGCACGGGGCGAATGTTCTGGGCCTTCGCTAGAGACGGCGGTCTTCCATTCTCGAGATTGTGAGTCTTTTGATATGAGCCTTGTCAATCCCCAACAGCGAAGGGGATATATGCTGACGGCCACTGCAGCTGCTCGAAAGTCAGCCCTCGATATGGGGTTCCGGTTAACGCCCAGCTAGTTGTCGGCATCATCGTCGCTCTTTTGGGGTGCATTTATCTGGGCTCTAGCACGGCCTTCAACTCAATGATGAGTTCTGCAGTGTATGTGACCTTCACTCAGTCCTGAAATCGATCTTGGAAGCTCCAGAGCTGGTTTTGATATGATCGCAACGCAGGACGATCAACAACTTTGCTTATCTTGTGCCGATTTTGACCAACGTCCTGCTCCGTAGGCAAACCATGCATCACGGCCCCTTTAGCTTGAATTTTGCCATGGGGATGGCGGTCAACATCATCACGGTGGCCTGGTTGATTTTCGCCATTGTGTTCTTTTCGTTTCCTTATGAGATGCCTGTGACCGGTAAGTGAATGACCGAGTTGTTATGGAGAGGGCCTATGAAACATAGGGGCCCGTTGGCTGACAGTTAGCTGGAATAGCATCGAACATGAACTATACATGTGTATGTGTCGGTGGATTCTTGTTATTCGAGCTACTGTGGTGGCTCATTGCGGGCAAGAAATATTCGAAGCACATGCAAAAGGTAAAGGGACATGATGGCGATACAGCACACACATCAGTGGTTATTGCGGCCGGTGAGAAAAGCTAGCTGCGCTAGTTATGAGGATGTGTGAGGTACGACTGCGGATGAGGCCCACACGTCACGCTACTTCAATACTATAAGTGATGTGCGGCTGAATATAAGTAAACAGGCTCCAGGCCTCAATGCTTCCAGATCATGGGCAATGAGTAGCACGTGGAACGCATGCACCCCAGAGGTATAAGCTTCACTCTTCGGGACGGCGGCGAATGGTTGACACATTACTTGGATAGCCACACCGAGTTTCGGGGAAATATCACATGAGCTCCTAATCCCGTAGAGACTTTTCTGCAAAGTGATGGGTCAAGGCTGACTGTATCGAATTGATATAAGCCATTGCCAAACATCTATCACAGTGCATCCCCAATAGAGTCTGTGATATTAACTATGTCCAAGATAAGACGAAACATGAATGATTGTCATGGCCGCTAAGATCTCCACAGAAGTTTCTTTGAGTCGGCACAATGTGTTGAATGCAATATGTATACGTAAAAGGATATCTGCCTCCTCCCTCTGAAGACATGAAACCAGGGGCGAATAGGTAGTCATATTCGTTGACGTCGTGATTGTAATGGAATGGTGGTTGTTTATGGTAAGGGCAAAGAGCAGGATCCTCTTAGCACGTCCGCCCAAAAAGGAAATCCTTGACAATCGGAGAGCTAGAAAATTCAGGGTTCAGTAGAACGCAGCTTCGAGCCATAATGTCAGTTCTTCGCATTCGTGCACGGTTCTACCACCCCATGACGCAACTCACTTCAAGAAATATTCCAAACCAGCGCGACGCGATTCAAGAAATTTAGGGCGAAACTTGACTAAGGGGATCAGTGAGCTGATGTACTGTCTTATGCAGCTTGTGCGACACATACAGATTACGCTCTTAGGAGGTAAGGGAGGAAGGGCGTTTTTGGCATGCGGAAATGAGACTATGAGGCGTTGTCGCAGGTCGTCGAACTCCGAATACCTGAGCAGAATAATAAGTACTAAGCAACCTTGGATATAGGCGACAATGCGAAAAGCCTACCTCAAGCGAACTGTTATAGGGCCACCCTAGAGCAACTATTAGCACCTGACCGATGTTCCGCAGTGCTCAGAGTAGCAGCAGCGCATGTTTGGCACGCCCTAACTCACATCGAGTGTTTGGACCCTGCAGTTCCAAACTACGTACGATCCAATCCCCGTCTTTCCTTGAACGACAACATAATCATCAACTGAGACGCTCTTCGCCCACAGTCCACGACTGGTCTCACATTCCGGATCTTCCGTGTGGTCTTCAAGGGTAATAGCGGGGCCAGCGTCGAGAGAAATTTGGGAGATTCTGGAAGCAGCTCTGTGATGAGTCCAATATGGAGGGACTATCCCGGAAATCGGGCGCTCATTACTTGAGGCATCCCGAGCTTGAAGGAAAGGAGTGTCGTCGCCGTTGATGGGTGAATTTGAGGGAGATGTATTTGTGTTCGGGATGGTGTTGTCCGTGCTGGAGGTAGCCGAAGGTTCGGAGGAGGGTGAGTTTGGGTGCGGCGAAGGCACGAGGCCAGTGTCCTCATTCGCTGGCTCCATCCATCTAAATGTCAATCGGCAGATTTGGCGGAGACGATCCTGACTGTCACTAAGAATAGGTCGGGGTCAGGTCAGGTCAGGTCAATCACGATGCAAGCTTAAGGAGGAAAATGACCGGTAGCGGAGATTAACCCAGGTCAAGCTCAACGTCCACTAAGACTGAATAGAACAGCCCTCGAAGCTTTCCCGTGGTTCCAAGCAGAGGAAATGAAAGAGGGGGGAGAGGGTCTGTGTCCGTTCGGCGTACAGAATACAGTCAGATGCATGCCAGAATCACCGATGACCGGTCACAATAAGCCACGTCCAGGGCGTTATCCGGTAGGTAGACTAGTACTGTACGTTGGACGAACGAGGGGGAAGAGAAGAAAGTGCGGGGGAATTGAATCACGGGAAGAGGAGCTGATAAGAGAGTTGAATTGTTTCAGACCGTGGGACATACATACGTGATCCAAGAAATTCGCTTTGAGTGCCTAACAATTCAGTGCGAGCGTCATAAGTGTAAATGTCTATTGGTCTGTGGAACGGTTTCTGGTAGACAGCATGATGGATTATTGAAGCGGCGATCATCCTCGGCAGACTCCGACGGCGACGAGGACAACTGCCATGGCACCACCGGGCAACTTTCCCGCAGCTTCCATCCCGGACAGTCCAAGCCGCCTCCAGGTCACGGGACGACTAAGTTACTGCTCGAGAAAGGCGGCAAGTCATGTGAGCCTGCAGTTGGAGCCACAAACAAAGGACAACAAGACACGATTACACTACTCCGTACATTACTATGTATGTATTGAGTTTATTTGAGTTGAGTTGTGTTGAGTTGTGTTGTGTACGTCCTCCATTTATCCTCCATTTATTACATTACTGCCCCAGTCTTTGCCATCAAACGGTGACTCCCCCACTCCATTCCCTGCAAACAAGTCAGCAAGTTTGCAGACAGACTGGCTACTCCGTACACTGCGAAGTCTGAAGAGTGTCGGCGAGTCGGAAGAGCCAGCAATTGGAAACTAGTCCAGTGGATGGAGATAAATGCCATTTGTGGTTTAGGCTGCCTTCAGGGTCCAGACTAGAAAAAGCCAAGAGGGTCCGGCCCCAATCAGCGTGTTTACGAGAGATTCTACCCTTTTGCAACTGAGACATTTTGTCCGGATGATGAACAACGAAGACTCCCAAAAAAAAAACATCGTATTCCCCCTAGTAAGAGGCGATACTCGAAGGCTAGTCACCAGCATCTCACTGAAACATGCTCCCACCACTATCACCTTTTTCTCCCCCCACCTCTTCCTCCTCCTACTTCTCTTACAGCACTGCATATATCCTCAAATATCAGTATGATGGTCACGGATGCACCTGCAATGCATACAGCCAAGTGCCAGCCACTAGGGTCATAAACTAAAGATAGTAACTCCATCCCAGCCTGGAAACGATAAAAGGGAGGTTGTGTATGTACAGTACTGTATGGACTTCGTCCGTACTTACTAGACTGCCTAGACTACTCCGTACTCATACTACGGTAGTCTAGTCAGTTAGTCGTAACTTATCGGCTAGTGGCCCCCGGATCGACATACCAGGTTCTCTGCTCTCCTGATGCTGCCGGGCAATCTTGAGTCTTCTCCCTCTTCGCCCCCTCCCCTTCCCCTTCTCTGCGTTGAGGTTGGGGCTGATTGTAACATGCACTTCGCCCAGTCAAACACAAAACATCGAGGATAGCATAGCATAGCATGTTCCTGTTTTGCCCTCCTGGCTCTTTCCAGCCTATCTGCATAAACACTGGCATGGAAGGCAGCCGACTAGCTAACTAGCTAACTAGCCAACTAGCTTGCTTGCCACGGACCTCGGGGAAGTTACGGAGGAGACGAGGTTAACTTACTGTACTCCGTACTCATCTCAGCCAACTTACGACTAGGAAAATACGACCATCCAGCACTAATTACTACATTATACTATACTCTACCAAGTGCATTCTTGGATGGCTGGCTCCATTAGTATCCCGTCTGGAGCTTAATCAACACATAGCGTCGCCACCTCGACCTCGCTTCGCGTAACAAACCCAAGTGGCACGAGACAACATGTTGGACAAACTACATATACTGAGCCTCCAGCACCATTCCCCATTCCCCAATCCCCAATCCCCACCCATCTTCTTCACCCTTTGATCTCCTGAAATCATAAATCCTGAACCCTTGCCCCCCCGCCCCTTTCACTCGCCAGGACGTGCTTCACTGCCTTCGATCTAGGATCTCTCACATTGGACCCTGGCCCAGATTTGACATATCATTCTTGACCCATCCCATTACTGTAAGCCCCCTCCTATCTCTCTCTCTCTCTCTTGCTTGCTTGCTCGCTCCAACCCCTCTGGTCTCCATCGTCTGGCATTTCCTTCCGAAGATCTTGCTCAAGATTCAGGAGATCACCGCTGGGACCCTGCAGCGACAGGGACTCTATTCCGAAAAGCATCGTTCGTCAGTCACTAACCTCCCATTTGAAGCTGTCATCATGCATTTGTTGCATTCTGTGATTGCTGTCGCCTCCCTGGCCCTGTTTGCCAATGGACAGAACTCATCCTACACTATCAATGTCGATGACATTCCAATTGATACGAGAAGTATGTCGTCACCTGGCTACCATCGAGGACTATGCGATTGCCCGCGATACTGACTGATCGTTTTACTTTGATAAGCTCAATGGTGTAAGGCTCAGACTTCATCATGCCCGCTCCTCTGTCTCCAATTGCCTGGAACAACGAGCCAGCCAAAGGAGAATACCTGCGACCCTGTGAGTGATACCCTTCTTCATAATCCTGCAGGCTGAGCACGTCTAACCATCCGAGTCATTGCTCTCAGAAAACATTGCAATATGTCTGTGACTGCAGTAATGGCCTAAGCCCGAACTCTTCACAATATTCTCAGACGATCCCGTACTTCATGTGCACAGAAGAGAACAATGAGTGTGTCACCAACTGCAACGGCAATTCCATCTGCCAATCGGATTGTCGCAGCCAGCACCCTTGTGGTGCGCAGGACCCCAAGCGGGTGAATAGCACTTCGACATCAAGCTCAACTCCTGCTGCGACTGCTGCTTCCACCACAACCTCACTGGCACCCTTCACTGGTGTACCCGACGAGGGCGCAGCACCCCGATCATCGACAGACATGACTCAGCTTTACGGTCTGGTGACTGTTGTGGGCGCATTCCTGGCCGGATTCTCAACCTTGATCTAGATTCAACCCGCGCCGCAGGGCTCCCTGCAAATCCGCCGCCCCCGCCTGTCGCACTTCCGATAATGTGTGAGAATCATCTTGGTATTTTAGCGTAATATCTAATATGTGTCAGCTTTCGATTCTTGTCGGACATCGGCTACCGCTTTTGCTTTGGTGTTTTCCTCGGTTCACGATGCAGCGATTTCTTCCTTTCTCTTGTGTAATGGTTGTGCTACCGTTTATGAGCTATCCTCTTCCACGATAAAACAATGATGACCATTTATTTTCGCTCCAATCGATTCCAGCGCAGGTCAAAAACCATACTTCAGGAATTGGACCTTTCATTTTCAAAGACTCAAGATGTCTAACAAGATAGACTGGTTTAATTCAAGGTTCACTTACGTCGAATGCTTATGCTTAATTTAAACTCATGCCATCAGAACAATCCCCAATCATGAGTACTAATTTGTAATCCCTTGAAGAAAGACGGATCAAAGCTAGATCCAGTCACAGTGAGCTAGGCTCGACATGCCCTCTGGACACATCTTGCAAGGACTCTGCACTCTGAAGATCGATAGGACCAATAGCAAAAGGGATAGAGCTGGTAATAAGGATGCCATTAGACCATGATGACAGCAGGACACAACATGATCACAATTCTGGGGCTCCATCTTAAGCGCTCCATACATAGCATCTTATAGGGCAGTTTCCTTTTTGAAGGTAATGCCGAGTAAGGTAACCGGCGAGCTATACCAATGGATTTCGTGAGGGATTGGTCATGGTTGCAAGGCGGTGGCTCGGGCGGTATGCAGCGGTGCTGATAAGTCGGGCCAAATGATGCTACCATACTGATGACCTGGTGGGAGAGAGAGCAAGGTCAACTCACCTTCAATCACCCTCCACCACCAGCAGGAACGTTCATCTACCGTGCAAAAGACTCATTTCCTGCCTTGGGCTGTCTGAGATCATATCTATATGCTTTTATGACGTATCAACAACAGCCTGCACCGATAATCTAGAATTACCTCCGCTCCAGGCTCCGAATCAGCTCGTTCTCCACTTCACCCATCGCCTCGTGACATTCGCTGCTGCCTCTATTGCCCTGTTCTCCTCTCCACGACGCACCTTTTGGGCTTGAAACATCATCTCAGAGACCTTCCGACTCTGGGCTTGCTGCATACTGTCTTAATCCTCGGCAGCAGGGCTGACGCCGTGTCGGAGGGATGGAATACTTACCAACGGACGGGCACATCGAGCCCTCGGCCGCGTACATGGGCCAAGGGCCGGGTGGTGGTAATGTTGACTTGGATAGCATCGACGGAGGCCCGCTGGGCTTGAATGTCAGGGTCGAAGGTATGTACCACACGTTCTCGGTAAGCATGTGCTCGTTTGAACGCTAACCGTGAGCCTTCACACCCAAGATCCTCCGAAATTCGAACTGGAATCATACATCGCGAACTATACTGGTAGGTAAATACTGCTTTGCTTCTCGTCTCGTCCATCTCAAAGCTGACCGGCATTTTGGCACCAGGCCGGACCAGGTACAATCGACTATATGTCATCGGTACATGTTCGACCTATCTAGCCGTCGAGGCACTCAAAGCCGCAATTGCCGAAGCCAAAAGTGGCAAAGATGTCACCAGATACGAACGAGCAGCGCGGGCTCTTGCAGAGGTGGCGCCAAATGATCCCGAGGCTACACTTGACACGCACTGGGTGGACCACATGCAAAAAGTCGTCAAGGCTGAAACAGACAGGTTAGAGCATGAACTCAAGGGCTACAAGAACAACTTGATTAAAGAAAGCATACGGGTAAGGATGGCTGTCCCCTCGCCCCTGAGGATTCCGAGAGGAGTGGCCATACATGATTAATTGTGTTCTCTAGATGGGCAATGAAGATTTGGGCCAGCACTATTACCTCATCGGCGATCTTACGTCGGCATCAAAGGCATATTCTCGCATGCGGGATTACTGCACGACCCCGACGCATATCGTTTCGATGCTTTTCAAGATCATCACCGTGGCGATCGAGCGAGGCGACTGGTTGAGCGTGCAGTCCAACGTTCACCGATTACGCAACCTGCAATCAAAACAGGACGAACAGTCCAAGGTGCAGCCGAAGCTGTCCACCGCGTTGGGCCTCTCTCAGCTGCACTCGGGGGCTTACCTGGATGCAGCCAACAGTTTCCTCAGCACAGACCCGGGCCTCGGCGACTCGTACACCGAGGTGCTCACCTCCAACGACGTGGCCGTGTACGGCGGGCTCTGCGCGTTGGCGTCGATGGATCGCCACGAGCTCCAGCGCCGCGTCCTCGACAACAACTCCTTCCGCAACTTCCTCGAGCTGGAGCCCCAGATCCGCCGCGCCATCGCCTTCTTCTGTAACTCCAAATTCCGCTCCTGCCTGGAGATCCTCGAGGCCTACAAGGCGGATTACCTGCTCGACATCCACCTGCAACGCCACGTGCACACCCTCTTCACTCGCATCCGCACCAAGTCCATCCAGCAATACCTCATCCCGTTCAACCGCGTCACCCTGGATTCCATGTCGAAGATGTTCGCCCCCGGAACCCTGACCGGAGCCGATGCCCGCAGCGGCGGCCAGCAGCAGGCCGACCCGGACACGGACCTCACCTCGCCTTTCGTGCAGGAGCTGGTAGCGCTGATCCAGGACGGCACGCTGGACGCCCGCATCGATCTGGAGAAGAAGGTGCTGGTCGCCAATCAGGTCGACCTCCGAACCGAGTTGCAGGAAACCGTTCTCGATGATCTAGAGGATTACCTGCGCGAGGCGCACATCCGCTTGTTGCGCACCAACATCATTCGGGCTGGGTTGGAGGTCCGGGCTGACGACAAGCCCAGGGAAATGCGTGGTAAGAGGTCCGACGGGTTTGGATCCGCCACCTTGTCCCGGGGCGCGGGGTTGTTCCAATGAAGTCCTGAATTTTGGGGAGGGGTGGGGGGCGGGGGCGTATGTAGCAAATAGTCATTACTCAAGCCAAGTGATCAATGGTGCTACATCACTCGTACTCCCCTCTTTGCACGGGAATAATGTTCTCTCCGTTTAATTCTCCGGGGCTCCTCAAAACACAATTTAGCCTCAGAAGTTGCGACGTGGCGTCTTCTGCTGTGTTACTCGCATCCCCTTCTTTCCCCCGTGTAGTGGCACTTGATGGCAGATAGTGGTAATGACATTATTCTAAAGAGTAAGCGCACAAAGTGACATTGTACATGAACAACAGGTAGCGTCATCCTCTTCCCCTCTCCCTGCCTTCTTCCCAATTCAGCAAGCTCGGCCCTTTGCACAATCGTCAAATCTTTCCCGAATGAAAGCAAGCCTCTATATGTACACTGACCGGTCATATGTCATAGGTCATAGGTTGAACCGGAAAGGGGGTCTCGACCGAAAGTGTGGAGTGGAAGCCTGGCTTAAGCCATGGCCAAGGCCAGCATCATGGCGGCACCTCCGGCAACCCAGCTGCCGGTGGCCAAGGGCAGAGCACCATTGTCGGTGCTGCTGGCGCTAGCACTAGCAGCAGCGGTGCTGGAGCCGGAGGCATCGGAGGAGCCGGAAGTCGACTTGGCGGACGAAGAGTCGGTGGACTTGCCCGAGGCGGTGCCGGTGCCGGAGGCAGTGGCAGTGGCGGCGGCGCCGGACGAGGAACCAGTAGCGGAGGCAGAGGCAGAACCGGTGATGGTGATGGGGATGGCGGTCAAGGGGGTGGTGTAGATGGCGGAGGAGGAGCTGGGGCCCTCGGAGTCGCTGGCGCTGGTAGTGCAGCTCAAGTAGGTGGTACCAGTGCGGGTGCAGCCTTGGGAGTAGGTACTGGAAAACGGTGTTAGGTGAAAAGAAAGCTTGGTGTATAGAGCAAGAAGGGCCACATACGTTCCGCGGTAAGACAAGCCCATGCCGTAGGTGGAGCTGCCCACCGTGAGAGTGTAGGTGTCGTCCTCAATGTCGCAGCTGCTGTCGTCATCATCATCGGAGGTGGCAGTAGCAGCGCTAGCAGATGAAGTCGTGGAAGCACAACCCAGAACAAGAGTGGTGAGACTGCCACCAGTCTATTTACAAGTAATCAGATATGTTCTGGACAGCCGAGACACGGGCAATGATCTGTAAAGGATTCCATGACATACAGTTCCAATCACTTTTCCGGCAAGCCCAACATCATCAGTGTCGGGCAGATAGACGTTGATAATGTCATCGGCAACAACGGCCGTAACGGAGGCCAACAGGGCCAGCGAGGAAGCAATCTGGAAACGCATGGTGGCTGTGAATTGGAGATTGGAAATTCCGGATGTAGTGTTATAGAGCAGGAGAAAGGTGGGAATCAAGATATTTTATATGCAAACAACGGAATACAAGATTCTTTTTGGGTGCAGGCTTCAGGAGAAAGGAGAACGACGCTATGTGCAGTTGGAATGCTGGGTATGGAAAGGGAATTGTTGGGGGCGAAAAGGCGCGCGAGGGCCGTTTCTTATAGATTTGTCCCAACTGGTTCCCTCTCGCTGGTGCGACAAGTGCTGAGCCTCGTCGAGGGCTGTTGTGAACTGGTTGGGAATGGCATGCGATGTTTGCAACAGAACGAGACCCTCTCATTTGGGGGCGGCAATCCTCGTGGGAGGTTCAGCTCACTGGTCGGACCCTGGCCGATCGCCAATTTGGGCGTGGAGCCATGAAAGCCATAAGGCGATTAGAGTTGGTTCGACGTGATCCGGTTTTCCGATGGGCGCAATGCTGTCTCGATTTAGCCGCATGGGGACGTCCAGACGAGCAACCAAATGATCGGTTAGGGAAGTGCGAGCACAAAATTAGAACGATGAGCTTCCATGGTTCCTGGTACTGGTAGAATAGCTGACTGAAGTCACTTGGTTATCCACCGTTAGAGAAGCCGGCAAGAGGCAAGAAGTGAATCGCCAGGAACTAAGCTGCCGCTAAGTGTTCACTAACGCCGGGAGCGCATTTGGGGGCTGAAACCATCATTTCGCGAAACTCGCGCATGAATCGGACCCCTGCTTGTCAAGTGGGCTGAGGCACTCAGCCTTCTTGTTCGCGGTTTATGTGTAAGCACTAGAGAGTAAGAATCAATCATTTCTGTTCGAAGTTTTCATTGCGGACAAAGAAAGTTCCCCCGAGGAAAGAAGGGCTTGTGGGTCGAGTCGCTGACAGGTCCGTCCTGGACTCTAGCACTCCCCGCTCAACCAAAATGTAGAAAATGAGAGAAAATGAGATCGTCGCAGCCCCATACTTTCACTGCCCAAGCTCCATCTGCCGCCGCCATCACCGACTCGCCAGTCTCCAACCAGCCATCTAGGTTGCTAGTCTAGCGGGTCTTCGAGTGCCTAACAACCCCACAGGCTATTCCCGCCAAGAGCAAGAATCCATTGAAGCTTGCTAGGATGTAGAACGGAGCCCCCGACGAGAGGACATCGAATAGCAATCCTCCGACCTTGGTCAGGACCAAAATGCCTGCGCCGCCGTACAGGGAATACACTCCAGCGATTGAACCTTTCAGGTGCGCCAGGGGCTGCTGGTTTTGTTCCGTAGCTGAGGTCAACAGAGCCTGCTCCTCTTGGTCGCCTTCAGTCTCATCGGCCGACAACAGGTCGTCGTCGGTCTCCTCGCCATAGAGAGTGGATGGGGAAGAAGCATATCCATCTCCTACCCGACATTGAGCACTCACACGGAGTATTCCAGTGCTGAGAACAGACAAGCTGCAGACAATGGCCCCAATTTGACTGAGCCCAACCAGCCCCATCACAACGAAGACGCCAGGACTACCGTGAGGCTCTCTGAAGTCCGGACTTGGAAGCAGCGCAAATGTGATATAGCCGACCACCCCTGCCACACATGCCCCTAGCAAGGGCATCGGATATTGCCGCGACCGCTCTGATATATACCCAAAAATCGGCGCCGCCACCAACGCGATGAGCTGAGAAACACCGGTCAAAATTGAAGCCAGCACATAAGCTTTACGGCATGATTGCTTGACAGCATCGGAGCCCGCTCCATCCCCGTTGTTGCCCTGGCATAGACCAGACTGTCGATAGTAGTGATTGACCGCTAGGGGAATAAATAACGAGATTCCGACAGATGATGCCCGAGCCACGAAACCGCCCACATAGCCAAGGAAAATGTCGCTGTTATGGAATCCTAACATCAGCGCCGCGCCAAGCTGCTGAAAGTACGGCAAGTGTCGCTTGCTATAATCGGTATCTCGGTAGTCACTCGCACAAGTGTCCTCCGGCCTTTCATGTCGGCCCCGAGCCCATAAAGAGCTCCAGGCTTTGCCCTCCTCCCCGGGAAGGTGCCTCAACCCTACAGAACAGAAGACAGCAACCAACAGAGACACGATAGCAACGACATAGTAGCTATATTGAATAGATTGAGGTGGTGAGACTCCCCTCTGCTGAAGTCGAGATGGCAGAGGTAGAAAGACGAGGAGGGCAACTAGTGCACCGCTTCCAGCGCACATTCCAACATATCCAGCTAGCTTGGAGGACGGCGCTTTCTCAGCCACACGACTCGATACGGTGGGCTGTGACTGTAATGATGGTCCGACCACAGCTGGAAGCACGGCCGTGACCATGGTCGATACCGCTGCGCCTCCAAGACTGAAGAGCAAACGTCCTAAGAGAAGCTGAGGATAAACATTTTTTGCTTGAACAAAAATAACCAGTGCGATGGCGATGATTCCATAGCCAGCCACGCAAACCTAAAACGGATACATGTGAGTAATTGTAGCAGTGCTCCTAGGAGAAACAATGAGGTTTTAGCAGCACCATAGAAGTACACTCACATTACGGACTCCAATTCGATCTGAGAGCACTCCCCAGAGGGGACAAGCAACCAAAGCGAGCAGCTCATCTGCGAAGCCCAAAGTCCCGACAGCATCGCCTTCTCCCTCGTCAAGGCCAATAAGTTCCGTGACAACAAAGGAAACAGACGAATTGAGGAAAACTAGAAATGCAATTGAAAAGGGACAAACTCCAAACAAATATGTGCATATTTGCAACCGATTAGCGGTGAAGATTGGTGTTCGTTGAGATGCCATCCTAGCCATGGTTCCAAAGCATGTCTCGAGAGATCAGAGGAGTGGAGTGTGTGTAGTACTACTCAAAAGAGCATCAAGGGCAATCTTCCTCTTGGTATTAAAGGCGCACGCATACACACGTACACAGTCGTTCTCTCTGTGAATCAGTCCTCGAAATTCGAAGCCCAGTTCTCTGCCGTCAGATTTGCTACCGTTGTCTGTAAATTCTGTGAAACATTGAACATAGACTGACTTGATAGACCGGTCTGGTGGTGGTGCTACTCCGGAATGTCTCGCAAGCAGTCACATGACCGCGCGTCGGCCCGGTGGAGCGCTGGTCAGTGTTTCCAAAGGTAAAGAACAAGTGAGGTGGAGCTCGGTTTGCCTCTCACAATGACTCGGTGAGTCTCTCTTCAAAAGTTCCTACTGAGTAATAGTACTGTGCGTACTCAGTGTCACATGTGCCTTCCAGTTAAGATGCAAATAGAAATCAAGTCCACAATTGACACCAAAAAGGCAAGCTGCCATGGAAGTATGGATGAATTCATGCTGATAATCAATGACGAAATAAGATCATGGCCGTCAACTGTAGTTAGTCAGCCGCCGCTGAGGTAAGTTGTCAATTCACTAGATTGGCACAAGGCGGTGACGGCAGATGGTCAACTGGCATCACCGACCGCGGGCGGATTGATTGCCGATTGCTCCAGCTGTCCAGAACTAAGTACTGCCTCGCCCATCCTCTCCCCTCCCACGCACGGCCTTCCCCTCCTCCATCCTCACATAGCTCAATCAATGTCCTTCTAATCTTCGCACTCTCGGTCTTTTGCTTTGTGTCCTTGCCAATGACTGGGAGTTTGTCGTTCACACCCGTCAATTCCTGGCCATGAGGTTCGCCGTCTAC